ACACACACACACACACACACACACACACACACACACACGATTCTCCTGAAGTTAGTTTGTAAATACCCTTTTGGAGGGGAGTGACACTTTATACCTTCTGATCTATCAGTTCTATACACAATTCTAAGTGTATGAATCCTTTGAAGTATACATATAACTTTATTCAGGAAAATGATCATCTCAGCATTGAGTAGTAAAAAATTGGTGATCTCATGATTTCTAATGATAGGGAACTAATTAAATAGTGAGTAAGCCAAGGTAATATTATATGGCTGTTTAAAATCACAAGAGTATAGTAACAGAAAAATATCCATAATTTTAAATTTAAGCTTAATTTTTTATTGCAGTGCTGGGAATCAAATCTCAGGCCTTGCATATAATTTTAAATTTAAAAGAATTTATATAAAATGGCAATGTAATTTCAACCATGTAAAATATACACACATTTTAAAGGATGATGGATAATCATTGACTATATATATATGTATATATATAAAATTTTTTACTGTATTAATCTCATGGGCAAAAAGAAAATGCTGTAAGAGCTACAGAAACTTTTACACTTGATATATTGCTAGTGGTGTCACTATATTAGTGATGACATCATATGTTGGTATAAATTCTTGGGAAAGAAGTTTTTGGAAAAGAAATATGCAGTGCCAGGCATGTTGACACATGCCTGTAATCCTAGCACTCAGGAAGCAGAGGCAGGAGGATCTGTGCAAATTCAAGGCTAGCCTGGGTTCCATAGTGAGTTCAGGGCCAGCCTGAACTACAAAGCGAGACCCTGTCTCATAAGAAATATGAAAAATACATCAGTAACTATTAACATTTTCAAAATATTTTATCCATTAATATGGCTTAAAGGAATGTATCTTAGTAAAATAATTAAAAGAGAAAGTTTTTCTGGATGAAGGTGTTTATCAAAATATCCAGAATAGTAGAACATTCTATTAAAGGATAATGGTTGTACTGAAAATAATATAATAGCATATTGGAAGCCAGAAGATAATTTGAGAGCTATAAAAACACTTAGGTGATTTATATGATTTACTAATACATCTTTCTATCAGGTGTACATGGCTTGAAGGTAGAAAAAACAAGGCTAGTGTGGTAGGGTGCACCTGTAATCCCAGAACTCTGGGAGCCTGAGGCTGGAGGATGTGAGTTCGAGCCCAGCCTGAGCAACTTAGTGACTTAGTATAAGATGTAAGTCTTGAAATAAAAAAGGGTTGGGGCTCTGTAGTACTATCAGGGAGAAGGGTCTGGATTCAATCCCAGCACTGTAAAAAAAAAAAGATGGAAGAGTAAGGGCCCTCCTAGAGGAAAAAACTGAATATTTACCCGAAAACTAGGAAACACTTGGAAGAAAAAATAAGAAATGTTTTGGGGAAGTAAGATTAAGGATGATTTTTCTTTAAACGTTCATTTGTTGCTAAAACAGACATACAATTTAAGAACAGTCAACAAAGAGCGGCTTGCAATTCACTAGGATACTATTTTTCAAAAACATGACCGATATGTCTAACTGAATGTTTACAGTTTTTCTTAGCTTGTAGAATTTTCACTTTTTCTACTTCACGACATTTTAATAAATATTCTAAATGCATAAGCTGCAGCTCTAAGGAATATGATCTGTACTATGGCAACTTCCTTGGAAATACACACGTTTCCAGGCCTTCATTTATTTGTTCATTCATCCAGGCGCTCACACATTCCATAAGCTCTTGGCAGGCCACTAGTGGGCGCTGGGCGAAGCACCAGGCTCCAGTGAGTTCCCATGTGTGGGGCATTGCCAGGCTGGCAGTCAGACAGGGCTTAACACAGTGTGGTCTGTGGGGCCTACGGGCCCAAGGGCTCTCAGTGAGGCCCAGAGACTCAGAGAAGGCAGGACTGGAACTGACACTGGGAAGAGAAGTCAGTTTTCCCTCAGACAAGCGGGGGAGGGCTCCTCACTGAGAGGGAGGGACCAGCAAAGGAAGGCAGCCCGATAGAAAAGCATGCACCTTTGGGCCTCACTCGAGGCTCACACAGCAAGTACTCAGAGCTAGGTTTTGTGCACAGAGTGTGCCTAATGGCACAGACTGTTCACACCTCAGCTGCCTACCTCATGTACTAGCTGTATGGATTCTGTGCCCTTCAGGTTGCAGATCTGAGAAATGCAAAGGCTCATATATACTTCATGTGACTTAAATGGGTAACAGTGTATTACAGTATACATGCTAGACATTATCTATATATAAATAAAACAGAGAGGGATTGCAGCTTTATAGATTTATCTGTACTCACCCTACGGTGATGTCAAAAATGTTGCTTCCCACAGAGCTGGACACAGCCATGTCCCCCAGCCCCTTCCGGGCTACTATGACACTGGTGATAAGGTCAGGGATGGAGGTGCCAGCAGCCAAGATGGTCAGACCCATAATCTCTTCACTGATGCCGATGGTCTCTCCGACCTACATGTCAGGACAGGAACACACATGGGAGCTGGGAGTCACAAAACCATCAGAGCACAAACATTTCAACGCAATCCATTTTTAATGGGTTCCTCCTCAGTGGTCTGCTAGGTGCTGAGATGATAAAGATGAATAAGCCTCAATCACTGCCATAGAGGAATTTATTTTTTTATGACATTCAGACCCAAGTAATGAGCATTGTTCATCTGAGTATTAAACAGATAATTAAGAAAGAGCTCCAAGGGCTCTTTAAAAGAGTTATGAAAGCCACATGGCCTTTGAACTCAGGGACTAGCCCATGACGGGTACTGAGTCTGGGGCAGATCTGCTCTGCGATTTTCCATTTAAGGCTAAGAACTGATGCAATGTCCCCATTTTTCTTAATGTTTCCTCCCATCTGAACCACACCTAAACACTATCAGCTTCTGCCATTTCCACAGGAAACATGATTTTGGGAGTTTCATGTGATTCAGGTCTCACAATATAAACCTCTTACCAAAACAACAGCCAGAAAAACAACGAGCAGGGAACTTGGCCCAAGGTCTGGCTTTTCTAATTATTAAGGACTTAACCTATTGCAAACGGTTCCATTATACAGTGTCTTTGATCTTTGCTTTATCTGTAAAGTGGGGATAATAATATCTACCTTACAAAATGATTGTGGGTAATTTGTACAGAAGCCTTCTAAAATAGCATATCATTATTGAAAAGTAAAGGAGGGATGCAGCCCTTGTATGTATTTTTTAGTTTTTCCTCTTCAGACAGGTGAGTTTTGCTTGGAGGGTTGGTGTTATGGCTCTATGCCCCCCAAAGTCTCATGTGGCCATAGGAAGGGTTTTTCAGAGGTGGCTGGATCTAAAATATGTGGCCCTAAGATTAATTCGTGGTATGATGCAAGGGCACTAGGATTAAGGGGGTGAGTGCTGCCTGCTTGGAGTGAGTAGCTTGAACAAGATGTAAGGGATAAAAAGAGCTGTGGTCATCCCTTGTTGCTTTGCTGTCTTCTGCCCACCATGAACTGTTTCTCCTCTGCAGTGCCACCCTACCTTGGAGCCAGCTGATTATGGACTGAACCTTCTGCAAACTGTGAGCTAAATAAATCTTTCCCCCTTTAACTTTGGGTGTTGAATATTTTGTCTCAGCAAGAGAGAAATAACTAAGACAGTCTAGTTTTGATGAAAGCATTTCTGTTCTTTTTAGTAACTTGTTTGTCTTGTTGGGATTTTAACAAAGCTTTATGCATTTTCCCAGCAGCCAAGATAGTCAGACCCATAATCTCTTCTGAGGTTCTGAAAATCTTTAAGATAATGCTTTCTCTTTGATTTCTATCAGCTTACTTGATGACATCGGGAATTTTTTCTATCTTGGGGATGTTATTTAAATTTTGTTTGGGAAGTACTGAAATAACATTTAAAGACAAAGGAGTTAGGACTAGATACACTCATTCCTAAATCTATTTCACTTTCTCATTTATAGGTTATATCTTGGCTCCTACTAAGCCAAAAATAGAGGTGTTTTTATTGTGATGGCCATGTCTGGCAGAGCCTGGTGACTTGAGCAGCTAACCCTGTCTGCACAGCACAGAGTCATTGCTCCCACCAGGCAGTAAGCTCTGTGTACACAGGGCCCTTGCCTTGGTCACTGCAATGCCCCTTAATTGCGGAGCACAGCTTGGCCTACAGTAGGCTCTGAATACCTATTTGCTGAGTGATCTCATACACAGGTGATTTCCTAACATGGGTTTCACTGATTCTCCTTGAACAAGTTACATAAGAGTTTCTCACAGGCGTGCCCTGTGTAAGCAAAACATTCTCCTTAGTGTCTTACTTTTTGGTTAAATTAAGAAGGAAATGTCAAGGACTGTGAAGATGATGACTTAAATGATTGTCACCCTAAGAAAGTCCCAGTTCTAACACATTTTTAATAATTTAAGTTCTTATGGGAATCATCTGTATTTGTAGTTTAAATGCCACTTACACAGAAAAGGAAAAAAATCAGAGAGGTACAGTGGTGTGGTTAAAAACTGGTTTGGGGCACAGAAGTCCTGGTGTAAATCCTAGCTTGTCTCTCTAGTACAAGAAAACCACCTTTCATGCCTCTCAGTTTCCCCATCTGTTAAATGAGAATAGTAATACCCACTGAGTGGTCATGATGATTGCATGTGGTGATACCTATAAAGCAGACAGCACAGTGTGAAGACACAAAGTAATCGATCAGTAAATATCAGCCAGTATAACTCAGACATTGCTTCTTTCCCTTGCCAAGTTATCAGAATAGCAACTAGGGTCTGGCAGCAGGGACAAAAGCTAGTTTACTGAGGCCAAGCCATAAGGTGGGAAAACACATGAATAGGGAAGAATTTTCATTACACATTAGCCCCTGATGAATCTGTGCAGCTGTCGAGCCCTACCACTAAAGGAGAACTAGTCTTTTAAAGCTTACTTGGCGCACCTGTCAGTTGACTTTGGAGGAGTCAGAGGAAATAGAGGGGCACATGGATGGGACCATGCCCTGATCAGTTAGGGTCACTGTTAAACCTCGGATCTGGAATGTGGTGGAGGTTTAGTCCCATGCTGGGGATGGTATCAAGCTATGGTGGAAATCTGTAGGAGGTAGGGCCTAGTGGTAGGAAGTGAGTTCAGTGGGATGTTCTCTTGAAGGGGATATTGGGACCCCAGCCTCTCTCTCTCTCTCTCTCTCTGCTCCTGGCCTTCCAGGCCATATCTCCCTACCATGATTTCTGTTTCACCACAGGTCCAAAGTGATGGGACCAAAGAACCATGAGGTGAAAAGTCTGAAGCTGTGAGCCAAAAAAAAAAAAAAAAAGCCTTTCTTTCCTATTACCTCAGGTATTATGCCACAGTGATAGAGAACAAACTAGCTGTATAAATTTTCTATGCTTCCTTCTTGATAATTTTAGTTTTTATATTTAGAAATACGATCTACTTTAAGTTTTTTTTTTGGTACTGGGGATTGAACTCGGGATCTTGTGCTTGCAAGGCAGGCGGCAGAACCACTGAGCTAAATCCCCAGCCCTTAAGTTAATTTTTGAGTATGATATGAGGTAGAGATCTAATTTAGTTTAGTTTGGCATATGGAAATCTAATTATTCCAGCAACATTTGTTGAAGAGTCTAGCCACATATGTTCTTGGTATATATTTCTTTATTTCAAATTGCTACGTTTTATGTTAACAAGAATAATAATTCAAGGGTGATATTAAACAAATGTAAGTGGGCAGTTTGGAATTTATATAAAGATTAAAAGTATGAATTTGGAGTTGCAGAGTCCTGGGTTAGACTGCTGTTCTGCTATTTACTAGCTCTGTGATCTTGGGCAACTTTCTTGTCAAGTTTAAGCTTAACTCCTTTATCTGGAGAGTTTAGATAACAGCAGTACCTTCCTCATAGGATTTGAATCTGTATACAGGGTTAATATCAAGACAAAGAGATATGAACTGCCTTAACATCTAGTACACTTTCAGTTAACAATGGCCACACCTGTGATCTCATTCTTCATATTTTTCAAGGACTATTATTAGGACCATAAGGTATTATGATTGGTTTTGAGTTTAAAGTGGTAAAAATTAAATAAATCATTATTTATATAAACTCAGTCTCTAGGAAGAGGCCATTTTGTTTCTAGGTCCTTTCTTGAGACCAGTCCTGAAAGGCCAGTGAGAGCCATGTTAAATGGCTAGTCCAGAATGAAGAGAATGCTACTAGTCAGGCAAAACCTTGGTATTTTTCCTGAGCCTGGGTTAGCCTAGTTTCAGACTGTGGAGGGCAAGAAGTGGTCAGGTTTGCCCTCTCCAGATGGCTTTTGAGTACCTCTGCTGATGTGATTCTAGGCTATAAGGAAAGGCCTGGAGAGAAAGAAAAGATTTGGAGACTAAGGAAAGTTCAGTTTTGTAAGGTGTAGTTTTTCTGTGACATGTCCAGTGTTGTCATGACAGTTTCAGAAAGCAAACACATTGGTGACCCAAATACTTGGCAACCAAGTGTCAGGAGCCATTCTGCATAATTTTGGGGAAAAATAATGTCACAGTTAAATTATGATTGGGCCTAGTCTTGCCTACAGGCTGGCTGTGACATGCAAAAACATAACTCCGTTTTGCTTGTGGTCACAGCTGAGACCTCAATAGCCTGGTGATGCTGTGATTCTCAAGGTCAGGATTATATCAGTTGAAGGCATCCTGGTTTCTTGAGAAACCGGGGGAGGGACACATTCTTTATCAGCTTAACTCTTCCCACCTACTGTTGTATGAACATCTTTGTTCTTCTCACTGCCCAAACCAACCTGAGCTTCTCATTGACCTAAGATCCTCATCAGGATAAGATCCTCATGGTCATAGGACACCACCATCCCCCAAGACATCTGATACTCCCTCCCACTGTAAGATCCTTGTCAATTTAGGATTATGATGTCCTCTGAGTCATCTGTTACTGTCTATGAACCCAATAAATACTGGCAAGCTTGGGGTACCTTCATCTTTGCTGCCCAGAACAGCACTGATCAGGCCCAGAACCCAGCCTCCTCTCTCAGTCATGTTTCCTGTCTTTATTCTTTAATTCACTTTGGGTTGTCGTGGCACAGGAGAGCAGGACCCACTGTAGGGGTTCTGGTAGCATCCCCTTTTTCTGTTCCCTGAAACCAAGCTTAAAGGAAAACTAAAAAAGTCTAAAAGACTAAAAACTAAAAAACTAAAAAAGTTAAGTCTTACCTGGTGTGCCCACCAGACCATCAAGTAAGAGAATACTGCAATCCAAGTGATGGAGCCAAAGAATGTGATGGGAAAGAACTTCCTCGATGACTAAAAGACAACCAGAAGAGGGAAGAGTGTTAGTGCAGTCAAATGTACAGCTGCATGGTAGTAATGCTGGTTCCTGGGCTGGAAGTCTCTTGAAGAGAATAACTATTAGTTCCTGCAAGTAGATGCTAAGATAACGTCTGCTCCTGCCCTTTCTAAGGCCTGGTTTCTCAGTTTCTCTGACATTCTGTTAACTGTAACTTTACTCTTCTCCTTTCTTTAGTTTGCTCCCAAGTTCATCAGTATCGGGTTCTATTGCTTGTAAACCACGTGTCCTAATGACCCACCTGCCAGAAACCCATGGGATTAATTATACCGAACAAGGAGTGGGAGGATTTACACACAGATCTTACGTCCCATGACCTGCCAGGAAGCTACCACCATCGCTTGTATAGATTCATGGTGGTGCCTGGTCTCCAGGCCACTGGGAGTGGACATAGGTGGAAATGCCCCACGGGGCTGATCTCACCTGGAGATGGGGCAAGGGAGGGCAGGTAGCGCTTGCTCCTGGGAAGGCTTCCTCTCCGGTGTTCACACCACACCAGTTCTGTTTTGAGCACTGGGCTATATACAATCTCAGGCTTATGCGGTGAATACTTTTAAGATTTCCTAGGCATATCAACCAAAAAGTGAGACATCCAAAATACAGTGTTTTTTGTTTTTTACCTGATGCAACTGTAGGGAAATCCAGGCTTATACTGTTGATGCCCTTTGTGGAAAACTTGGTTAAAATAAGTTCAGACAGCAGAATGCTGTCACAGGGCTTCTCCCTATTATTCTCAAACAGTATTTATTTCAAAACTTTGCACGCTGAGAAACAGTTTTCATTCTGATAATGCCATTCAGCTACATTAGTCACAAATGAGAACAAGTTGGCCTGGGCAAAAGCAATCTCAGTTGTCTGAAGGGCTGACCAGGGCAGTCACACAGAATACTCTCTGACATGGCCTGTGAGGGCTCGACTGGAAGAACAGATAAAACCTGCACATAGCAATCCGAATGTCTACAGTGTAGTGACGGCATGTGCTCCAAGCCAGGCTTATGTTCTCTCTACTAATTTTAGTCCCAGTGAATATTTTATTATCATTCATACAGTTCTTAAATGTCACAATAATAATTTCTCTCTTTAGATAATTGCTGGTTTTGCTAGGGTGTCATTAGCTAGGATGTCTGGATGACCAAGTGGGCTTAAATAAATTGGGGTATCAGGCCACAGTGGTACCTAAAACCTTACCATTAAATGACTACTTGTGCTGCTTCTCTTTCTTAGAAGAAAAACATTTTGGACAAGGACTCAGATGAAACAGAAAAAAGTGCTTAGTTTTTCAGAGTGGGGACTGAAATCTTTTACTTCTGAAAGTAAATTTCTTTAAAGCTGGGAGTTCATTTGGATTCTAGGACCAGATTCCCCAAGGCAGTGCTAAGAGCCAGGAAAAACTTTTGCTGACTGGAGTTTCCAGGTCTTCCTCTGGTCATGAGTCACCGTCTTCGGATCCTGAGTACAACATGGGTTCCCAGCTGCTGGGGTCATGCTGTTGCACGGACAAGCAGAGCCCCTCCTGCTGTGTGGGCCACACATGATGTGAACATCGCCCGGTGCAGATAGCAGCCTCCGAAGCGTGGCATCCGTGTCTGGCAGAGCTCCTCTCACAGCCTGCTCCCTCTCCAGGTTAGCTCCTCTCACAACTGTGTGACTATGTTTATCTTTCACATTTCATATTTTACCTTTGTATGTTCATTGAGATGATTTCACTAGTCAGAATCAAATCATTTGACCTTCTGTCTCACCTGGAAAATATCATCACTGAACTCTAGAACATTCTTGTCCAAAAGGTAGAAAGCAAGGTATTAGACTAAAGGCTTAAAAGAACTAAATTTAAATCACCTCTTGCTGCAAAAACTCTCCAATATTTGATGCTCATGTTTCTTAATCAAGAGAGTGATTAGCAATTAACAGGCATCAAAAAGTACCTAATTTTTAATTAGGAAATCCTTAATAAAAGGCTAAAAATAAGCTTCTTTATGGGTTTAAGGGGAAGGCAAAGGCAGTGTGCATCTGCTCCATACCCAGATCTTGCATTAGAGAAGTGCAAACCTAGGTCTGCCTGGCTTTATAGGGTGAGCTTCTAACACATATGGTTGTACTGACTCAGAATATATCCATCCACAGACATAATGATGATCATCATCATACTAGGCTGTGCTGTGAATGTCAGAAAATAAAAAAAGCACCAAGGAAGTAGAGACTAGCATTCCAGCTGCATGGCCATCTGCCTTCCCCAACCTCCCATATTGTTCCAGCCGTCACGCATCAGCAGTTTGGCTAAGTGTTTCCCTGTCAAACTACCTCACCAAGTCCAGTCTCACAACCCGTTCAACTCCTTCTTTTTTTTTTTTTGGTACCGGGGATTGAACTTGGGTCCTTGCGCTTGCAAGGCAGGCCACCGAACCACTGAGCTAAATCCCCGGCTCACCGTGCAACTTCTTCTTTCATGTTTTCCCCAGAACATTTTCCTTATTAGACTCTCTATGGTTTCATTCCAGGCACCACCGCCCCACATCACCTGCACACTTACTTAGTCACCAGTGTCACGGGCAGGAGGAACACAGCCCTGGAGCCGTGGTCTAGCACATCTGTTTACGCTTAGCAATGGTGGTGCACACTGTCATCTGTGGGGATAGGGCCTCGTACTAATTAAGCAAGTAAGCAGACGGGGTCCATGTGCTGTTCATTTGGTTTCCAGTGTAGCGGTTCACTTGCACAGTCAACAGCCACCGTTCTCAGGAAAAGCTTTTAGTGTATCACGGTGCCACTGGCTTGGCTTGAAAAGAGTTGCTGGACATTAGCTAGCTGCACAAATTGGCCATGTCCTTAGTGATTTAAATTCAAGAAATATTCACCAAGCATCTACTCTGTGCAAGGCTCTGAAGTGTACATTTCACTTGTGGGGGCTGGGGGAGGGCTCTCACTATACTACCTGGGCTGGCCTTGAATTTGTGATCCTCCTTTCTCAGCCTCTGGGACCACACATGTATACCACTACCCCTGGCTTGACATACACACATTTGACAGTTTCCCACAACAATCCTGTGACTGTTAAAAGCACGGTGCCTGGGTTAACATGACTGGCTCGGAACCCCTGTTCACAGATTACCAGTGACCAGCCCTTAGCCAAACTATAATCGCTTTAAGCTTTGGTTTCTTCATTTGAAAAATGGAGGAAATATCACGATCTAGTTCTGAAGATTTAAAATGTCTGACGAAGTCCCCAGCACATTTCTCTGGTCTGGGCTGAGATGTCCCCGAGACGGTAGGGCTTGGGGAATAATGGCTCTAGGCTGTTCAGAGGCCTGCACTGGAGCGGGTCTGGAAGGTCTGTGCCCCTCCTGCTGTGCCTGGACGGGAGCCCTCACCTCACCCCTGTGCCTTGGGGCCTGGCGATTCGGGACTGAAACCTCCACAAACCGGGAGACAAAGGAGCTTCAACTCCTTCAAGTTGCAGGTGTTTTGTCCCAGTAATGAGGAAGGTGATTAAGACACAGATAAAGAGGACTCAGATGAAAACTGTCATTGTCATTAGACAATATTATCCTCATTTTAAAGAGACGAGGAAATGGACACTGGGGAGTGGAAGTTACTGGAGATCTGGCCTGGAGTCGGCTTTGCCTCTTTCTAATTGCAAGTGGACAGCGGGAAATCTTTCTGGGTCATAATCACTGAATTCTTGCTGTAACCATGCTGGGCTCATTAGCAAACAATAAATACTCAGTGCCGAGAAAAAGAGAAATTGCAAATACTAGTTGAGTTCTCAGGTTCCTCTCTAGCTTCAGTGGTTTTCATATCTTATTAGATGCATTCCTGTAAGAACACCCATTCTAGCCCATGAGAGGAGGGAAGATAACTTTTGGGGTCCTTAGTTTTTTTGGTACCAGGGATCGAACTTGGGACCTTGCGCTTGAGAGGCAGAGGGCAGCACCACTGAGCTACACCCCTGGCCCATGGGGTCCTTATTTTGTTAATTCCGACTTTCACTGAAGATATGTTTCTCAGTAAGGTTTACATTTTAGTTGTTCTACTTTTAAAACAAAGCCATTAATTTAAGAAAACTATAAATGTGAAGCTCATATTAATTATCCAAACTAAAATTATGTACCATCCAATGAACACTGCTATATAATTTGCATATAAATGAAGTGCTAATAAAAACAAGTGGGAGTATTATTTACTGTGAAACTAGAAGTATACAATCATGTTTTCCTTGTAATTATTATGAAGGTTTTAGGCATTTATATCCATGAGCAATTAAAAATCTCGAGGAGAGAGCTTCTGGTGGGCCTTAAAGAGTATCTGGTGTCTGTCAGTTAATTCTTCTCCCCTCTTCCTTCCCCTCCCTGGCTGATTTCTCAAGGGGCCCTTTGGAGGTGCACAGACCCATGGCAGGATGGCAAAAATGGCCAGGACACTTTTGCTCCTCCCATAAAGAGGTGGGGTCTGTTTCCCCCCCTTGATTCTGGGCTCACTTCAATGACTTGCTTTGACCTACAGACCGTTGTGGAAATGACAGTATGTCAGTTGCAAATTAGGTCTCACAAGAACTTTGTAGTCTTCATCCACACTGCTTTGGGCACTTGTCCACCCTGTGACTAAGCCCAGCTGGCCTCTCATGGATCAGAGACCGTGTGGGGCAGAGTAGAGCTGCTCTAGCTGAGGCAGTTCTGTGCTGGTCATTCCCCAGCAGGGCTGTTTGGCTGAGCCGAAGCTAGACCTCCACTTCTCGGAATTATGGACTAAAAATATGCATGTTGTTTTAAGCCAGCAAGCCCAGGACAGTGTTACACAGCAGAAGACAACTCATACAAAATCAAGTTCAATGAAACTTCCGTACTAAGCACAATCAAGGAGGGTCTTAACGGCTCTTGTACCCAGTGGTGTGGGTTCTTCATTCATGTGGAAGATGCACATACAAGTTTCTGCCAAACTGATACACTTTGCACATGAGCTGAGACTTCTCCAGGCAAACTGGGTATATGGTCACCTTCGTTTGCAATACTATATTGGTAGTTCTGTTTTTATTTATCACAGAACGTCATGGCAGGGAATCTCCGGCTTTACTCAGTAGAGGAGCAGTGTGATCCAGGATTGAGAAATGGTTTTTCCTAAGGTTGCATAGCTCATAAATTAGGGGAAAACCATTGCAGTCAACTGACAGAATGTGATAGTCAGGAGACTCAGGTCCGAGTCCAGGGCCTCTTCCTAATACAGAAGAACAATCTTGCCTTGTAGTTTATGTGGGCATGCTTTGTTTCCTCTACTAAACTTAGAGCTCCTTAAGGGGAGAAATTGTGAATTCTGTGTCTTTATATCTCACTGAGGGCCTAAGCCCAGTACTTAGCATATCACACATTCTCAGTAAACATTTGCTGAGGAAATTTTAAAACAACCAAATATTCTTTATGAGAGTCTCATTTCTGCCCGAAACAGCACACAGTATATTCAGAAAATGACACACAAAAAAATCAGTCCATGCTGTGGCTGGCTCTGGGGGAGCCACAAAGCAAAGCCCCACTGGTCACCCTGCGCCACCATGTGCAGCTCATTTCCTATTTCCTGTCCCTTGGCCTTACAGAGTCAGCTGGAACAGTGATATGGCCAGATAACTACTGCCCTCCCTGGTTGGCTTCTGTTTGTTTTCAGGAATTGCTGTTTGGGAGACTTTGATTTTGTCTGTCAGCTTCCTTGAACTTCTAGCTCAAGACAGGCCGATCACTTTGTCAGCCCTTATGCTAAGGGTCTTCATGGTGCTGAGGGCTGAGGCCTCTTTCTGGATCCTAACTGCCTCAGGTTCCTGTGCTGACCTCCTATCTGCCAGGAGCGCCTTTACTCGGGGCCTCCTGACACTAAACCTTCTGTGGGGATTTAAAACAGTGCTGTGACAAACACAAGCATTGGGCAAACACCATAGAAATGGAAAAGACATATAAAGGGGGGGAGGGGGGAGGGAGAGAGAGGGCAAGTGAGATTTGTCATTCAGAGATGTCAGCGTGATCTGATTCAAGGGTGAGAATGAGCCACATGGGGCTGTTTAGTGTGGGTTTTCGGTAAGCTGGGCCTCTGCATAGAACAGAAGTCTGCAGTTGTAGTTTGAATAAAGAAACCTAAATAATGTCTTAGGTGCATTACATGCATCCTTTACAAGAAAATCTCTAATATTGGGAGTTTTTCCCTTCCTTTCCTGGTGTCTAAAGGGCTGTCTCCACCAGGCTGAATTCTTTATTTACAGGCCAGGCTAACAGGACAGGATTTATTTATTTATTTATTTTTTTATGAGGAAGTAACCAAATGAACAGTCACTTGGTCAGACCTGGGACTGAATCTCAGCTCTGTCCTCTAGAAAATGAGCAGGTACAAGTTAGTTGACTTCTTTGGACCTAAGTTTCTTTCTACGTATGCCAATAATGGATATATTCCTGCATTAGATATTTCCTGAGATACTACCATATGGTTTATTGGAAAGACCTCGTGTGGAATCACGTATGGTAGTGCCTGCTTTCATTGGGGAAGTGTATGTGTGTGGTGCCATCCTGAGAAGCAGAGATATTTCTCCCTTTGCTCTCATTAGCTGTTTCATTTCCTGAACAAAAACTAATATGTGATTCTAGAATCCAGTTCCACAGGTCTGGAAGGGCTGGTCTCTGGTCTCTTGCTTAATCTACATTCAGAATATACTTCACTGACCGTGGGGTGGTATTGTGTTCCTAGCACCCATGCCTAATAAGGGAAGACAGTATTTATAGTAAATACAGGAGGGAGAAGATAGGACACATAGGCATTTTCCCTACACAAATGCATTTCTTTAAATTAAAAACTTTTTTTTT